TATGCTTTGTGATAATTCTCTGTATCATCTGAACATTATGAAACTCTTCCTGTTCAGGCCTGCTGGGGCACAAACATTCATTACAGAAAGTACGAAAGCAATTGTGTAAGGAACAGATACAATATGAGGATGGCTTCAACTGACTTCTACCTGTTTCACTTAGGGGAGTCTTCCCCATCAATAATATTTATGTTGATAGTGTGTACCATAGAGTTGTAACTAACCTATAGATGACTCACTGGCAGGTTTTCAGAGGCCGTTAATCACGTGGAAGGAAATTTGCCCATCCTTTTCCCTCAGAACAGGTGGTGACTTGAACCTTGTGCCTTTAGGATTGTAGTGCAGCTTCTTACCACTAGGCTACTAGATGTCCCATAATATCCATGTTGTTATTGTTGTTATGTGCCGTTGAGTCGCTTGCGACTCATAGCGACCCTATGTACAACAGCCCTAAAACCTGCTCTATCATGTGCCAATCTTATTGTCTCTGACACACTATTCCCATTACCACAGTCACTGAATCAATCCATCTCATCAATTGTCTTCCTCTCCTGCGCTATCCCTCCACCCTCCCAAGCATGATGTCCCTCTCCAAGGACTGATCCTGCCTTGCAACATTTCCAAAGTATGTCAGACAAAGCTTCAGAATCTTTGCCTCCAAGGAGCAGCCTGGCTTCACCCTCTCCAGGAAGCACTTGTTTGTTTTCCTAGCAGTCAATACTCCTCTCCAGCACCACAGCTCAAAGGCATCAGTTTGCCTTCTATCATCCCTAGTCATCGTCAAGCTCTCTGAGACATAGCAAGTAATTGCATAGACCATAGCTTGTATCAGACGCACCTTAGTCTCTAGACTGACATCGTTGTTCTTCAGTACTTTGGAGAGGTCTCTGACAGCCAACTTTCCCAATGCAATTTGTCTTTTAATTTTCTGTTTGCTGGTACCAAGAGTGTTGATTGCAGAACCAAGCAAACTGAAGCTGTCAACAATCTCAATCTCTTCACCATCTATCATGATGCTTCCAATCAGCCCAGTGGTGAGAATCTTTGCTTTCTTGATATTGAGCTTCAATTCATATTGAAGGCTGCAGTACTTGGCTTTCTGCAGTAAGTGCTTCAGATCCTCCTCAGTTTCAGCAAGCAGGGTTGTGTCATCTGTATAATGCAGATTGTTAATGAGTCTACCTCCAATCCTGCTGCCACACTTCTCCTCATAGAGCCTAGCCTCCTGGATAATCTGTTCCATATAAAGATTGAAAAGATATGGAGATAGGACACATCCTTGATGCACACACTTCTCAATTTTGAACCATGCAGTGTTTCCTTGCTCTGTTCTGAAGACTGCCTCCTGGTCCAAGTATAGGTTTTGCATAAGCACAATCAAGTGTTCTGGGATTCTCATTCTTTTCGGAGTCAGTCACAGTTTGTTGTGATCCAGAGTTAAATGCCTTTGTATAGACATTCCTCTGGCACTCTCTGCCCCTAATACCATACAAATAAATATATAGTCGGACTTGCTACCCTATATGTTCCTGCACCTATTTCTACCAGTCATTAGGTACAATGTACATTGCAACTTGACTGACAGACTTTACTTTATTCACATTTGTGGGGTTTATTAGGAAAATAGGTTGGGGTGTGAGTGAGGCAAAGAATATCACACAAAGCAAGTCCAAGTTTAATCCAGTAGATTAAGAAATCCAAACTAGAGATTAACAAGGCACAATTCCTCAATTAATTCAAACAGCTTCTCAGTCCATAAATGAAAGTCTAGATTCAGCACAAATAAACCTATGGTTTCTTCAGTCATCTGGCAAACTTTCTCAGAGCAGTTACATGTCAGCTTTTCAGTCAGTCATCCAGCAAGCAAGCCTTTAGCCGTGGATCTCGTCTCCAAAGTTCCTCTAGTTACATCTTGCCACACTTAATTCACAGTTGCACTACAGTCTTTACCATCTCTCTACCACCATCTCTCACAGTGTCTTCATAGTGTGGAAAGTGCTGTCTCTTATTTTGCTCCCCCAACTGTTGATGTTTTCAAGACCATGTGTCCCCAGTTAAGGTAGCTGGAGACCATGTCCCCAATGGGGTCTAACAGAACTAGAAAATCCAATTTTTAAGGGTTCTGACGCCATAGTAATACTTTTTTGAAGTTTGAATGGTTTATAAATAAGATTGGGTTTTCATACAATAGTACATGGAAATTTTAGAACTTTGATTATCATAATTAGGATAATTAATTAATTACAATTTCTTATTGTGTATTGCTCTTTCCTGCACTGAACTTACCTATTTCTTTTCAGAGGAAGACTCATCAACAACCTCCATTATCTAGATGATACAACCTTGCTTGCTGAAAGCAAGGAGGACTTGAGAAGTTTGTTGCAAAAGAACAAGAACTACAGCCGCCAATATGGGTTACATTTCATCATCAAGAAAACAAAAGTGAGTGAAGGATGGAGAGGTGGTGAAGGAAATGGGAAAGATCTGATATAAAAAACAATGTATACAAACTTTGTAAATAAAGCACTATAAAATAAGAAGAAGAATAAAAAAGACACAACAAAAGTCCTCACCACTGGGCCAATAGAAGATCAACATCATGATAGATGGAAAAAGGATCGAGATTGTCAATGATTTCAACTCTCTTTTACACACAGTCAGAAGATCAGGAGATGTGTTGCATTGGGAAAATCTGCTATCAAGGACCTCTCCAAAATAGAAGCACAACAACATCTCAGCCTGAAGACTAAAGTGCATGTGATTCAGGCCATGGTCTTTTCAATTATTTGCTATGCATCTGAGAGATGGGCATTGAATAAGTATGGTAGAAGAATTAATACCTTTGAGTTATGGTGTTAAAGAAGAGTACTGAATACCCGATGGGATGCTAAAAGAACAAATTTATATGCCTTGGGGATAGTGCAGCCAGAATGCTCATAGGAGGAAAGGATGCAAAGCTTTGCCTTTCATACTTTGGATATATTGTTATGAGATGCTAGTCTTTGGAGACAGAAAGAAGACCTCAGTGAGATGGATTGACATAGTTACTGCAGCAATGGGCTTAAGTGTGTCAGAGCTGATGTGGATGGTACAGGACAGGGTAGGATTCAGATCTTTTGTTCACAGGGTCACTATAAGTCACACATGACTCAGTGTCACCTAACAACAAAAATAGATATGCAGGACTAGTTTGTCTAATCTCCATTCTATCTTCCCTCTTGTACACCTTTCCTTATTACAGAAGCTTGAAAACTTAAACTGAAATTTCCCAAATTATCTTGCTGCTTCTTGTTGTTATGTACCATTGAGTGAACTACAACTCAAAAACTACAACCAATGAACAACAAATCTGAACCATGCCCTACCCTGCCCCATCCCCCTGATGTCTGACAAGCTCAAACCCATGGTTATAGTCACTGTGCTAATCATCTTCTTGAGGGTCCTCTCTTTCTCTAACCCTTCACCATTCTGAACATAATGGCAATTGCACAGACTCTAAGTTCTAATTTCAAAGCACTAAATGTGTAGCTTATCAAGAGAGAGTTGTGGTGATGTCTGACTATTCAGTTGTAGATATGATTATGTTGTGCTCAACTTGACTGCACCTAACAACAATTACCACCTTTTTTTATCCTTGTTAACTCTCTAATATTCCTTTTGCGTATAAATTTTTCTTTAGCTTTTATGCTGGTGGTCTTACACCATAATTATCATTTAGTCAGTGACTTATGCCACTCAACATAATTTATTTTAGATTTATTGATGTTTTGCAGTATTTCACAAATTCTTGATCATTTGTTAGTGATATACAATACTTCTTTGTGTGATTGTTCTGTAGTAAATAATGGTACAATAAATATTGCTGTGTGTATGTCAGTTTGTGTTATAGTTTTAGGATGTATACCTATTAGTACAAATTGCTGGATCAAATGGTATTTCGTTCCCAACTTTCTAAGAAATCATCAAATTGCTTTCCATTGTGGTTGGACTATTTTATTTTTGTCCAATAAGTATTATGAGAGTTCCACTATCCCTGCCAGGCTTGTGCTGTTTGTTTTTATTAAACATTGTTAATTTTATTAGGATGACGTGATTCCTTGTTGTTTTTTAAATTTTTAATTGCAATTTTAATGCAAGTTTACAGAAAAGGCAACATGCCACTCTTAAACCAACTACAAGGTGAGTTTATTTTTTTAATCTATGAAATATCATCCCAGAACACACACACACACACACACACACACACACACACACACAATATGTGAAAACACATTCACACAGCCCTGTTGACAGAAGCGTTAAGAGCCAGTGACCTAAAGAAGTAATAAAAGAAGAAAAATATTGTGAAATGACACTTCAAAAGTAGGAGAAACTGATAAAAGTGCAGCCTTACATTAACAATTAAAATTTTTCCTCCAGATAGTGGTTTGAATTCACTCAAATGGCCTCTACTTTGAGTGACAACTAAGCTGTCAAACACCAACCATTTCCAGTCCTCAAATTCCAAGCTTTGGAATGGGTTGCATGAAATGTAGACTCAAGAATGTTCAAGAAGACTCAAGAATGTGCACTGTGGGTTTTTCTATATATATGTAAATTTGGAGAAAGTACTCTATGCAAGTAAGCAGTGAGTTCTGCTCCATGTGGTAATGTCTGAAGCTCAAATAAAAACATTCCTAAATGTGTCACAATGATAAAGCCCTCCCTCCTGTGAGTTCTGATCCAATTCCTGAGGGATGTGACCCCTGTAAACCCCTTCCCATATTGTTGACATCAATAAGGGCTTGACAGCAGTGTGGGCCCGACATGGGAATAATATCCAATGTAGAGGTAAGGGGTGCCTCACGTCCTTTACATTCATAATGCCTGTCTCCAGTGTCAATTCACCCAAGAAAGACTCTGTAACATTACATTCATGACTGTCTATCCTGCGAGTGAGTCTTCAAGTGTGTGTCAAGGGTTAATGCACAAACAAATCCTCGCTTGACCTTCCTCTTGTCTCATCCACTGTTGAGTTTTAAATGTTTCCCCAAGAAGATGTGAGATTCATAAGCCCTTTCCCCGCACTCCCTTTTAATGCTTAGGAGGCTGTTCTCTGGAGTGAATTTCCACGTGCTGCCTGAGGCTGTATTATCACTGAAGGCCTTCCCACACTGTGTGCATTTGTATGGCCTTTCTCCAGTGTGAATATGCACGTGCCTGTCAATGTGGGAACTGCTGTTAAACCCTTTCCCGCACCTGGGGCACGAGCTGTATGTGAAGCTTTTCCCACACTGTTTACACTTGTAGGGCTTCTCTCCCGTGTGGATGTGCATGTCAGGGTCGCTGAGCAGATGAAGGTGCTCCCGCACTCCTTACATTGGTAAGGCCTCCCCCCGTGAGGGTCCGCATGTGGATCTCGAGGGTCACCTGCTGACCGAAGCCTTTCCCACACTGGGTGCACAGATAAAGCCACTCTCTGGTGTGTATTTGTATATGTGCAGCTAAGAGGGAGGGCACCGAAAGGTCTTCCCACATTGCTCACATTTGCTGTGAAGCACGAGAAAAGGCTTTTCCTCTTGCATTGCATTCACTGGGATCCCCACATCTGGGAAGGAATGGCGATGCCTTTTGGAAACCTTCCACCACTTCCACCTGTTTGCGATTCTCGTTTCTGTTCTGGGAAGTGTCATGTTCTATGCGTGTGGCAGGAGGGCTGAGGGTCTCCGCACTCTCATCACGGCCACTCTTTTGACGTCTCAAATATCCAGCTTGGTTTGCACATTGATCGTCATTCCCTCTCGATTTTAAGATTTCCCTGGACTTGCAGAAGATGTTGAACTTCTTTCTAAATTTCACTGTTTACTGGATACTTTTTGCCCGTCACATACGGTTTCAATGACTACTGCATTCAGATTTCTGAAGGTCTCCATCATGACATAGCTGTAAATTTTCTTCTGTGCAAAGTTAAGCAGAGCCCATTCTGTCTGGCTGAATGTCACCAACACATCTTTGATGGCCAGTGGTTCCATTCGATTCTCCATTTTCCACATGATGAAGGGAATGTGGTGTGCAAACGCCAAGGTGCCACATCAGGATGATGGGCGAGAACAGAAGCAGGATGTGGGGTGGGGTGGAAACCAAGAATTAATGCTTTGCCTACAGCTACTGTCTGCCCTGCTTGAGATTTGTGGGTGTGCAAGAGAGTCGCCCTAGATGTCCAGCTGCTTCAGCTGAAGTTGCTATCCCTCCCACACACTTGAGACCTCACACACACAAGCATAAGCGCAGACACAGAGGAGGCCGCTAAAGGAGGAAATCTACTTCCGGTTATGGGGCCTGTCGGTGCACCATGAGAAGCGTTCTGTGCGGGAACATGCAAAGCTCAATTCATGACCGCTTGTTTAGATGGTTCCTCCTTGAGTTGAAGGCTCCTTAGAGACAAGTCTGAGTTTTCTTCAATGCGCTTATCAACTCAAAGTAGCATCGAAGACAAATATGCTTGTTCTTTCAGCAGTCCACGAAACTCTGGCCTCAATGTGAGCAGGACTGTCACCATCTTCTGGAGCGTTCAAGGAACGACATTGCTAAACCCAAGGCGTCCCTCTAGGCTGATGAATTGGAGTGGACACAGGGCGCCAGAGGGCTGGAAGCAGCTGAGTAACATTCAGTCCACACAGCAGGTGAAATCCTTGCTGTAAATTGGAAGTGGCAGCGCCAGCGCCAGAGCGGCAAATCCTCGTTGTTGTTTTTGTTGATACCTTTGAGTTATAGACTAGAGAAGAGTCCTGAATATCCTGTGGCTGGACAAGAGAACAAACAAGTATGTCTTGGAGAGGATGCAGCCAAAATGCTCCTTGGAGCCAAAGATGGTGAAGCTTTTATACATTGAGCAAGTAGCTAGGTGAGGCTATTCGCTGAAGAGGGACATCATGCTTGGAAAGACTGTGAGTCAGCAAAGGAGAGGAAGACACAACACCCCCCACGCCCCATGAGATTAATGAACACAGTGACTTCAGCAATGGGCTTGAGTTTTTCAGAGATGGTGAGGATGGCACAGGATAGGGCTGCTTATTCATAGTTACAATGAGACATTTACCTGATGGCAATTAACAACAACAACAACAATAGCTAATGATCTAGACAATTTCTTTATGTTTGCTAGCCATCTGAATGTCTACTTTAGTGAAGTATCTATTCACATACTCTGATTATTTTGTGTTATTTGTATGTCTCTGTTGAGGTGTTGGTATGTTCTATAAATTTTAGAGATGAGTCCCTTGTCAAATGTGTCATTGTCAAATATTTTTTCCCAATCTGTAAGTTCTCTTTTTATTCTTTTGGATAAATCTTTATGCATATAAAGAGGTACTAGTCATCTAATCTATCTTCTATTGATAATGTATTTTCAGATATAAATGATAGTCCTTTTTTTTTTTTACCCCTGATTAGGATGCTGAAGTTTCCCCCAGGGTTTTTTTCTTTTTTTGGTTTTTGTTTGTTTTTTATTGGGAAAAACATATTGGGGGTACAAGGAGGTGAGGGTTGGGGGCAGAAGGGTGAGGATGGGCCAGGATACAGTTGCAGAGCTGCACAGTTTGGTCGGTGGGGGGAGCAGGTGAAGGAAATGATGAGAGTCCAGTGGGGACCAGATGCTACAGAGGAATGACAAGCATTTTCCAATGGTAATTAAA